CCCCAAAACCCCAAAACCCCAAAACCCCAAAACCCCAAAGTAACTGAGGAGGTTTGAAAGTTATAATAATAATGCTAACAGAGAACTTAAAAAATATGGCTATGGTAATATGGCAAGAGTACATCTCCAAAAACTTCGTCGTCAGAGAACTCCGAAGTTGATGGATCTTTAATGATATTGACTTCGGGGATGACCGAATTGAGAAGATGTATCAGGAGCATCGACTGAAAGCCATCCGTAACAACTGGAAGTTCATTCTTCTGATACTCAAGATCATGTATGCCCTCATTGCGATAGTCTTCCAGATAAACAGCGATGATGGAATCAGGCTTAAGAGACTTGGCCCAGTGTTGATGCTCTGATTGTTGCATTTGCTTAAGTACTATATCTATCGAAACAAATTTGTAGCCAGGTATGGAGCTATCCTGCTCATCCTCGGTTTGGGAACGATTATGGTTGCTGTAAATATCCAGTTTGAACAGTTCAGGTAAGCTAAGTAAATTTGGTCGTTTGAATGATCCTAGCTCTTTTTAATAGTTTTAGTTCAAATTAGAATGTATTATAAGATTCCTTGTTCTTCTTCAAAAAGAAATTGGTACCTTTGTTAGAATTTGAGAAATATTAAATTTTTGTTTCCTACAGTCCCTTATTTTAATAAACCATTGCACACTGGTCCTTGCCCTCTAGGCTGAATTACTAATATGAAAATAGGTTACATGAAGGATTCCTGTTCCACATTTCAATGTCATTTCTCTTATCAACTTGACTTTCTTCAGACTGGAAAGTATTCTCAGCGGCAATAGCGTTAGTTTATTGCAACTTATACATAATGCTCTGGATAAAATTTACCAATGTGCCAATTATAATCACTCATGTGCTTGTATTTTCTCTGGCAATATTCTGATTCAACGCTTTTTTGATTTCAAGAACTCTCAGGCAAGAATTCTTTGCAACTCATAATGCCAAGCAAGCTTCTGCACAACTCAAGAGAGTTCTTGAGGAGTTGCCTGAAGGAGTGATCATCACTGATGAATCAAAGAATGAGCTTAAGTTCATCAACAAGAAGCTCAAGAAGACTTTTGACATGTCAGCATTTCATCAGCCATGCAAGGAAAGCATTGAGTTGGCTCGGATCAACGAGTCTGTCCTAAAGTCTTTTGATCAAATTCTTGAAAAAGTTGCCGAGGATTTGGGCTCTGAAGAGTCCTTATTTATGATTAATAAAATTCTTAGTCATTTTACTGTCAAAGTAAAGAAGGATAAAATTGAAGAAAATAAAGGAAACGAACAAGATGATGAAAGTGATGAATACCAAGAAGTATCACTTCCTAACTTCCTTGTCGATGAAAGAAAACGATTGAAAGTATTACTATGCAATGAGATAAACTCAAAGGTCTCTATCTCATATGAGCACAAGGAAATCTGAGAAAGAATAGAGTTCTTGCAAAGAGATTTCATTTTAGTTACATCTAGAATTGATTTGGTGGATGATAAATACTTAAAACCCACTTTCTTCCAAATGTGTATTGACACTACACAGATCACACAATTAGAAGAAGCTAAAGCTCAGAGTAGATATCAGCGACAAATGCTCTCCAATGTATCGCATGAGTTCAGAACTCCTCTGAATGCGATGTCCTTATCTTTATATCTAATGAGATACCATATAAATGAAGACTGACTAAAATTCCATCAAATATCTTCTTCTTCATGAGACATCCTCAAAGGCCTTGTAGAAGACATCCTAGACTTCTCCAAGATCGAAGCCGGAGTCTTCGAAATCGAGGAGCGAGAATTCACCTTCAACCAGCTGTTCAGTGAAGTCAGCTCCATCTTTGAGATACAGACCAGGATGAAGGGAATCCTCCTCAATTTCCAAATGGAAGCTGTCTTTGAAGAACTCAAAATGAAGTCAGACAAACAAAGGATTAAGCAGATTCTGCTGAACTTGGTGTCTAACGCACTGAAGTTCACAGATCACGGATCAATTAATGTTCACCTCAAAATTCAAGAGATTAGAAGAATTAATGCAGAAGAAAACAAAGAAGGTAACCTCGAAATTATCTTTAGATGAATTTAACAAGGCTTTGTCTTGCGAGGCTTTAGAAGAAATGCCAGTGTGCAACCTTCTGCTAGGAACTAATAGATACAAGTTCGAGTATCATTGTTCAAAGTTTTATGAAGAGATTGTAGATCTTCACCGTGAAGATAAAACAACTGGAAAACTATTACAAAAGCAAGAGCAGGAGCCTTTGCCATCTGAATTCATGAAGGACCTAAATGTCGAACTTAGTGTTACTGATACTGGTATTGGTATCCCTGAAAGAGACCTACCATCTCTATTTAAGCTGTTTGGTAAGACCAGCTCCAATCACAATAGGAACAAGACTGGAACTGGGCTTGGTCTGACCATCTGTAAGAAACTGTGAGAAAAGCTGGGAGGCAAGATAGAGCTAGAGTCAAAAGAAAGAGTTGGAACCAAGGTCACTTGTTCCTTCATTTGTCATTACTAATTTAGTGATTTATGTACATTTTCACTTAATTTTCTTCTACGTGGGGTTTTGGGGTTTTGGGGTTTTGGGGTTTTGGG